CCTGGCTGAACCCAGCACAATATGTTGTAGGAGCCCAGTTACCAAGTACAGGAAAGTTTTGGCCCTCTTTGCGGAGGTACATGTGTGTGTTCCCCTTTCTTTGGATCCGCTGTCCTGAAGCGTCCCTTGTCTCCTCTCGAGGCAGCCCCATGCCTGCTCCTCCGTGTCCCAGGCTTGGTTTTCCTGTCTCCCTCACCTTGGTGCAGCCTCCCACCCTGATCCTGGTTTGGCTTTGCAAAAGCCACCTCCTGACTACACAATTTATTGACAGTGTTTCTTAGCCAGGCTGTGGGCTTGTTGCCAAGACATGGCTTTTCAATTTGTTCATTATCTTCAGCACAGCTCCAAGCCTAGTTCAGGCTTGGCCCAAGTAATTTGGCTTAAGTATCCATGCTTGCATCTCCCAGGGTATGTATTTATGCTCTGGACTGGCTGAGAATTGCCTAACTTCTGTTTTCTGGCTCTTCTTGCTTTCGGCCTGTGTTCCTCTCATCCACTGCTTTGTGTCTCTACCTTGTACAAGCCTTGAAAAGGGTCTGTCATGAGTGTTAACATTACAGTGGTCCACAAGTCAAAGGATCTGTGGCTTCGTGAGCGCCTTCGATGCCCCTGTGATGCAAATGCAAATCAACATGGTCTATTCCCATGCTCTGGCCGTTCAGACAAGGTATTTATTGTCAGAGCAGTGCCTGTTTGGCAGTTTCAACACAGATGAATGTGTTCACTGTTGAACACAGGCACCTCTTGCAAAGTCATTGTCCATTTCCTAGTAGAGCTGGGAGTACAATGCCCACTTCTCCCTTGTCCTCTAATGACAGATTCTTCTCCAGTTCTCACCCTGCATGGACTGTGTGATGGCTGGGTGGGCTTTGATGGAGCATGCATGACCTCAGAGTTATCCCTCGTCGCTGATGTGTTTGTCAGGAAGATTATAAAAGTACTTGAGGCATGGCATATAGCTCTTCTTCGATTACTTAATCAAATAAATTTCAAAGTTTGATAGAGAATCAGTGTCTGAAGCTATCAGGAAAGAGTATTATTGGCAGAAAAGAATCTCAGAAATGCAAAATGGGTGGCATGGGAAAACTCCCATGGGTGTGGGAGTATGGGAAGGCAAGAAGTAATGTTGTATGCCTAGGGTTAGCTCAGCAACCCTTCTTTTTAACTTTCTTGCTGAATCATAGTCTGTATGAATCTCTTCTTTTGTTTGATAACCTTTCAGGTCACTTATTTCCTGCTGCAGCCATTCACTGGAGCATATCCTCTGGAAACAGTGCAGCTGCAGTGTTGCAGCCTTTAAGCTGCCATTTGGCCTGTAGTGACAGGACAAGGGGTAAAGGGTTTAAATTGAAAGTGGGGAGGTTTAGATTAGATATCAGGAAGAAATTCTTCCCGGAGAGGGTGGTGAAGCACTGGAACAGATTGCCCAGAGAAGCTGTGGATGCCCCATCCCTGGAAGTGTTCAAGGCCAGGCTGGATGTGGCTTTGAGCAACCTGGTCTAGTGGAAGGTGTCCCTGCCCATGGCAGGGAGGTTGGAACTAGATGATCTTTAAGGCCCCTTCCAACCCAAACCTTTCTGTGATTCTGTGATTCTATGATTGAAGGTTTGCAGGAACAGACCCCTGCACCTCCCCACACGCTCCAGCTCCAGGATGTACTCGACTTTGAGATAAACGTGGTCCAAGGAGACAGCAAACTGGTCTGAGTACCATAATGATTAGGACTGAATAGAGATGTCCTGCATAATGTTAATAGATATGTGACTGACCAAATTCATTAAAAATATTAAATAGTGAAGTGGGATGAAGAATGAAAATACATCATTCATATTAATCAGCTGCATTACACTCGCTGCCAGTATAAAGGCCATGAGGAGTGAGAAAGGGTGAGAAAGATCACGGAAGTGAAAAATTTTGATGGCAAACAGCAAGCCTTTACAAAATAATCCCTATGAGGAAGAGTATTTTAATTGTGAAGGAGACACTTTGAAGACAACAATGCAGAGAAAGCCACAGCTGAATCGTAACAGAGAGTAAATTGTGTCAGAGTGTCCATATTCGGTGCAGGCTTACAATTCCATGTCTGCTCAGAGCACAGGGTGGCCAGGGCATTTCTCTGGTTTATTTACTCATCTGCAGACACTTTGCAATAATTGATTCAATCACGGGATCGGAGAATTATGTAGGCTGGAGGTCTGGGTGTGAGCAGGTCCACCACACCCCACCCACCCCATCCCCAAAGCAGGGCCAGTTTAGATCAGATTGCTCATGACTTTGTTCCTTCAGTTCTGAGTAGTTTTGAGTCTCTTTGACCACCCTCATAGCACAAAAAGGTCTTCCTGCTGTCTTAACTGGAATTTCCAGTGCCACAGCTTGGGTCTGTTGCCTCTTGTCCTTTGAGCTTGTCTTCTCTGCATCCTCTCATCTAGACAGCAGCTGTGGACATCAGTAAGGTTTCCCCTTGGCCTTCTTTTCTCCAGACTGAGCAAACCCAGCTCCCTCACCTTCCCATCACGCATCATGCTCCAGCCCTCCTGACCCTCTTTTGGCTCTCTTCATGATTTGCAGCAGTTTGTCACTGTCTGCCCTGTACTGGGGAGCCCACAACTGGGCACGGTACTCCAGATGAAGTCACACAAGTAACAAACTGGGGGGAAATACTCATGTAGCTGTTGGCTATACGCTCATGTCAAACAGCCCAGCACGGGCACACTGCTGACCCACATTCAGCGTGCTGTCCACCAGGACCCGAGGTCCTTGCAGGGATGCTTTCCACCCAGTTGTCGCCCAGCTTGTGCTGTTGCATGCAGTTGCTCCATCCCAGGCGCGGGACTTTGCCTGTGCTGAACTTCATGAGATCTCTGTCAGCCTGTTTCGATAGCCAGGTGCCCTCTGAAGAGCAGCCCTGCTCACCAGTGTACCAGCTGCTCCCTTTTAATTAGCGCCAGTGGTGGGCTGGCTGACTGGGTAACGCACCCCATCATCCGTTAAAGGTATTGAAAGAGTATCGACAGCTCCAGTATCACTCCCTCAGGAATTAGTACATGGCTGCCAGCTGGACTTCATACCACTGCCTGTCTGCCGCTGGCAAGTCAGCAGGAGGAAAACAAGAAGTGGCTATAATCTGTGCACATTTGGCCGACAGACAAGTTTTGTGTTGACCTGAGCGATTCGGAGAGCTAACAGCAAAGTCTTTCCCGTTTTACTTGTTTGCCTTCTATGTGACATCCGCAGAATTCTCTTTCCCAACCCCAGAATTACTATTATTAACCAGCATTTAGAGACTGGGAGGCAAAACGTTAGGGAACATACCCGACACAGATGGGAAAGAAACAGCTGTTGTGTGCAGGCTCCCACCTACTTTATATGGAGCAGCTGTCTGGAGCAAGAAGTGAGTGCCACTGAAAAGCCTTCTAAAGGGGCTTTGCACCAGGCTGGCACTGTACGATAGATGTCAGCTGAGAGGTTTCTGATGCAGGATGCTTTGTTATGGGGAGGTTCCTACCACGTGAGGGTTGAACTAAGACTAACTCATGTTTTTTAATGTCTTCATCAGAGCTTACACTGCATGCGTCTTATAAGCGGAACTAGCATTGCTCAAGGTGCTGCAGTGGGCTCCAGAGCACCAGTTGGGGCACCGCCGGGCTGCATGCACCCCTACGGTAGCAGTGGGCACCTCAGCTGTCTCCTGTTCCTGCCCACGCAGAGCAGGAACATTCTCTGCTGGTACTACCCCCCACTCAACAGCCACACAGACAGCGTTTTCATCAGAGCATGCTATGACTTCTTTTTTTTTCCTGAGAGTTCATGTTTTGAATGTGATTACTGTGAAACACTAAATATGTTTCAATATGCAAAAAAGAAGCAGTGTCACTGTTAACATTTGCTACTTTTCCTTTCCACCAGGCTGCTCACCACACGGAATAGTGGAGGGCGCGGAGGAGATCTTACCCAGGGTGGCGGTACGTCCTAGGCAGTTTGGTGAGTGATGGTTGGCACAGCTTGTTCCCACTACCTGGAACCCGAAAGCTGCAGGAGAAGGCTGGGACAAGCCATGCTAGACAGGTTTATGATGGATGCAGAATACCAGCAGGCTGATTTGCCTGGTGATTTTTGGGCCAGCTTGCTGCAGCCCAAGGCCACAGGCCAGAAAGAATACCTGAGGGAAACAGCTGAGAAGTGACCTGATGAGTTCTGCAGGAGTGAAAAAATCTGAGGGTTTGGGATGACATGGTAAGGAATTTTGTGTGCAGACCAGTCCGGGAGTGAGACAGCTCCCGTGCAGAGACACCCTCGAGTTCCTGGTGACAGGTCAAGTGGTGGACTTCAGGGACTGAAGGCACATGCAGCTGCCCACTCCAGTTAACGGCTAGACTCACCATGGTGACCCATGGTCACTGAAAAAGCAGTGAGCACTTGACAGCACCTGCCCCTCCAGCAGGCAGGTTTTGGCTGCTTGGACAGTTACTGCAGAGAAGTGCGTCTGTGAATGAAAATAGGGTGTTCGTAGGAGACTCGTGTGGCCATAAGTGCAAATGCAGGGTAGAATTACGGATTTGTGCTTTTTGGATTACTGAGGTAGTACTTTTCTTATCACCAGCTGAGAAAGAAAGGGAAGCAGTCCCCACAAAAGAGCATATCAAGCTGGTTGCATTGGGTGCATCCTAGTAAAGACTAGTTTCTGCCAGTGCAACCAGGCATCTAAGGAGATGTTGAGTTGTCAGGTAGTGTTTTATTACACAAGATATTTATACAGAGATATACAGAGGTGCCTTTCTGTCAGAATGGCAACCATATTTACCATCAGTTGCCACCATCAGCAGCAAGATCACTTCCTGCCAAACTGAGGCAGTGGTGGTGGCACTTTGATGTCTTGACCTCTTTCCAGTTTCTTCTCGCAGTCAACGAGGTAATTGACCCCATCAATGACAATCTGGACTAGCTCCACCTACAAGAAGAAGAAAATGTCAGTAATAAAAGCTTTGTCTGCTGCTGTTAATACAGGAAAACATTGGTTTGTACTGCAACGTCAGCAGGTAAAGCTAGAAGTAAGGAGGGTCATGGCATAGGCATCACACACTCTGTGCTGCAGGGAGTATGAGTTATGCTGGTCCAAAGGAAACCCATAGTAATTCCCTTTTCCTGCTTGTCCTGAGTTTGGATCTCCATCAACAGAAATTTACAAACAGTAGTATGTATGTTAATATGTATAGACACCAAAACAGCAGTGCTGTGAGTGCTCACCAGGCAGTTCTCGCTGGAGCAGCAAATGCCCTTGCTCTGTCTTCCCAGCTCCCAAGCCCGTACCATCCCTGTACTTGCAGGAGCGTTTACGTGGGCACAGCTGGATGGAAACTAACCCGGACAGTGGTGCAAGGAGAGGAAGACAGAGGCTCATTGCCGCAGTTCACACCGGCCCTGAATGCTGCTGGAGGCGCGCACCTGGGACGGCAAGGATGGCAGGAGTACCTTTGACCACAGCCATTCAGACCGCCTGAGAAAGCTCTCCATCCGGAGTCCTGTACTCCTTCAGAGGCACGGCTGGGGACCGTATGTTCCCCTGCAGATGACTGTGAACCCGGCTGCGGTGATTCATCAGCTGTGAGGAAAAATGTCCTACTGCCAAGTGTGCTGGCTTTGCTGAGCTGGTTTTGCCAAGCCCAAGACGCACATCTCTGAAGCAGAGGCACTCATCCTGAACTCGTGCTGGCTCTACATCATCCATTCCTTTGATTTTAGCTCTTAATTTACACTGGCAGGAGTGGGATTAGCCCCAGGCCTGGAACAGCACCAAAATTTCCAATTCTATATGGCAGGTGTTAGTGGTGTTGTTGTAACCTTTTTCAAAATTGCTGAAGAACACAAGGTGCCTTGTCCCCAGCAGACTTTCTCCGCAGGCCCTGTGGTATTGTTAGCCAGCAAACTATAGCTCTGATTTTTCTTAATCTTCATGAAATGGTTCATTGGCAACCTTTAATGGCTGGCTTGTTAAAACTGAATGCGAAAACTAAATCCTATTGTCTTTTTATTGTGACAGTTGCTGATTTTCAAGGGATTTGTTTTTACTATAAAGAATTTCAGTGGCTTAGCAGTTTATTTTATTGTCTTTTACAGACCAGCTGTGTTGGGAAACCAGAGGTCTGAATTTGCAGCCTCCAGGAGAAAAGGAATTTCATATTAAGTTTGCATTGACCAGTAACTGAAACAAAGCAAAAATACAAACAATTTTATCTTGCACCTTTGGGAACATAATTCAGTCCCGCAAACACATTTACCACATAATGGAATTTGTTTTATTATGTACTGAAAAAAAAAATGTCTTATAACAAAACATTTCTATCCCCTTGAGTTTGTCTTGTCTTATCTAGATTTCAGAATCTTCAAAGTAGGGATTGTATCTTATCTATTGGCTTAATCCTTTGAAGCCTTACTCTGCAAGGCATCACTGACTTTCGTGGAAGTCTTCATATCAGCAAAAATTCATAGCCTTAGGCCATCTGTCAGTAGAACTCATATTAATTAATCATGCTGTGTAATCCTTTTGTATTATTAGTATTATTTTAGTATAAAGCACACGTGAAGATGTTTCAGGTATTAATAAATGTCACGTGCTGGTTTTGCAAATAATACAGCTTAAATGTTTTCACTCTTATTTCGGTATAGATGCAAAGGAACATAGCTGTTGTACCCCCATCCTGCAGTAGATTTGCTTTTAGGAGCCGTTCTGCTTTATAAAATACCTAAATATGAAACTGGAATGAGGTCTGAGACCTGAGTCTCCCAGGAGGGCAGCAGCACCACCAGGTTGTAGGGTCATTTCCACTCTCTGACACAACAAATACTCATTCAGCCCAAAATAGCTTCAGAACAAAGGTCTGAGATGAACTCATCTCATCATAGCCTACAGCCCAACAGGGAAGGCTCAGAGCTGACAATTAAATCTTTGCCCTGAATTGACCCAAGCTCTCCCGCACCCTCTGCTCAGTTCCACGCAGGACACGTGAAGATGGCAGCAATTCCTCCTCCACAGTTATTTTGCAGTGAAAGGACTGGCCTCGTCCTGCTGTCTAACTGTGGCGAGAGTGCCTGACTGAGTACTAAAAGGACGCAACACCTTCAGCTAGTCTTGCTTTCAGTGCCTGATTCCCTGGTGGGCTAGGACTGGATCCCTGCTTTTCTCCAGGCATTTTGCAGCAGGTACAGCAGGAACTGCCCCATGTGTAGTAGCTACCTTGGTGCCCGCTGTGCTGTGTGTACAAACACTCCTCATGGCCAGCACTGCAGAGACCGCCGGACACCAGTCCCATAGCTGGGCTGTCCAGGTGGCCCGTCTAGGAGTTGGTGTGGTGGTGCCGAGAAGCGTCGGCCTGTGGGATGTCTGTTACCAAAGCCAAACCTTCCCAGCCCCTGTGTGCTCTCGGCGGGGACCCTCAGCACATGCTGCAAGCAAGTCACGTTTGTGGAACTTGCTCAAGGTTGGTTTTTTTCATTGCCGTAACAGGAGTATTTGTCAAGCATTTCATGCATATTAATAATTTGCCTTAGATGAAGCATTTCCATTGGACCAGATTCATCAGGAGTAAAAACTGCTGTGGCTCCACGGAGGTCAGCAGAGCGAGCCCAGCCAGAGGGAAGAAAACCAGAACAGGTTACCTCCGAGCGACCCATGCGGTCCAGGTTGGAGATATCGTACACGTCTGCTACAGCTGCCGTGTCCACTCCACCAGTGCCACGCTTTTGCAGACGCAGGTTCTCCAGGATTTTTGGAAATCTGGGATCCTATCAGAGGAAAGAGACTTGAGCATTTTAGCCTTTTAGCCTAAGTTGCAATGCAATTATCCATGACTTCTTAACATCTCCAGAAAGATAGGAGAGATGGATGGTTTCCTCAGTCCTTGGATTACAGCCTATCTTGGTGGTTGTCTGTTGATTGGATTAATTTCCATAACAAATACAACAATTTGCAGAATAAAAGTGTGCTCAGTTAGTCGTGCATTATCCCTGGGATCGTGTCACACATCATCCTAAATGTGCAGTCCTGTAAGCTGTCACTTTTCATTTGTCCCTTTGTAAATCAGAAGAGCTGACTTAAGTCACTGGCCTTTGAAATAACTTATGTACCTTGCTAAGCCTGGGCAGTTTAACATGGACTCCAGCGCGTAAACCAGTTCCCAGGTTGGAAGGACAGGTCAGAACATACCCGAGACGCTCGTTCCACATGAACTCCCAGCCTCGTTCTTTAATCAATCTTTCCACCTACGATGGCAAAAGAAAAAGAAAACAAGAAGAAAAGGGCAGCATACAAATGTCTTATTTTAAGATAAGACTACAGCTAAGGTTCTTTTCACCATGTGTCTGTGCTGATGATGAGCTTCACTGTCGCCAGCTGAGTTGCATGAATTAACACTGGAGCACAGACTGGTTTGGATGTGATGCAAATGTTTACACTCACCAGGTACCAAGATCCCCAGTGCATATTGGATTTCCTCATTGTTTTCTCATGACCAGTAGCTTGCAAACTCTTTGTCACTTTGTCACAAAGCTCCCTGTCATGGTGGTTTGGTATAGCCTTAGCCCATGAAGCCGTAACGTCATGTCAGAATTATGGCTTTTGCCATGCGTTTCTAACCTTGGTATTTTTGGAGCAAGGTCGCAGCACACAAGCCCCAAGGACTGAAATGCTATGAGGCAAACTGAAGGAGCTGAGCCTGATTTTTTTGTCATTTTCAAGGTCATGCCATGACTGCCAGGGGAGGACACTTAACTTCCAAATGCCCAGTATTAGCAGCCACATTTCCATTATAAGGAGACAACATAGCTTGTATATAATGCTTTTCATTAGTACATCTCTGACTAGATTAGAAAGGAGGGTGGAATAATTATCTGCAGTAAAATCACAAGGGTCTATTGACTTTTGAATAGGCTGCTACTCTGTTCATTCATCTATACCTTCTGGACTTATTTCTGTGATCCAAATACAAGTTCAGTTCAGTTCTCCTCCAGAGAAGAATCAGATACTTAAACTAGCTCATGCTCAGAAAGACCTCTGAAAATATAGGTGAATACTTCCATTCTGCAGAAGGATACAGAATAAAGGACTCTCCTAACATCATTTCTGTATTGTGTGAGGACACCAGAATTGGTGATGGGAAACTGGACCTGATTTCCTGCCTCAGACACCCATTCTGCTTGCAGCTCCCAGTGCTGACTACTTCCCATGGCCAGGTCCGTAGGTCCACCTCTGTTGAATGCGAGCTAAGCACAGTGGCAGAGACAAAGCTGGGAACGTCATCATCAGGCCATGTCATGTGGGCCACCACACTGCACACTGTTCAGTCTCACAGAAAACTCGGAAACTTAACAGGTCCCAGTTACCCAGCCCAGTGCCACAGCAGCATACATGCTTTTGGCTTTCTGTGTTCCCAAAGCCACTACATACTCAAACTTCCCTATGGATTCTCTGAACTTCTCTGATGCCACGATCAAGAGACTGTAGTTCTGTGCTGTACCTGCTTGGCCTTGCTTTTTTTTTTTTTGCTTGTGACATGATATGGAAGGGGTGCACAGCTGTATTAGCTCTACATTTGCTGGGGATTTTCTGAGACGGGTGTCTCTACAAAGCCAGAGAAGCTGTTTGCCAGGGTGAGATGAATGAAACAAGTGGTCCAAGGTTGGCCCGATATGTGCTTCCACAACCAGGCAGAAAAGCAGTTTGATGGAGACAAATGCTGTTTCTCCACACTTAGATGAATTAAGCGTGCCGAGGACCCCAGTGAGGATAAATACTTGGTTTATGCAGCCTGAATATTCTTACAGCCAATTTTTAACCTATTTCAATCTTCCATAGCTTAACCTCTAGGCTTTCCTCTACTATGGCAATTCATCCAGGAATGATGTGGACAAGAGCAGGGAAGAACAGTGTTTGACCACGTCACCTCTTCCACTACACCTTGTTATATTGCCTGTGGGACACAGTAAAGTCTTCTTTCTCTGTTAAAGCAAACTTTTCTGTGCCAGAACAGTACACAGGTACCCAGCTTGAGCCATACCTGGATTGTTTTTAACCCACATGTCATCTCATGAAGGCTTTATCTTTGTGAATAGCTAGACCAGAATAAAAACCCAAAGCCCTGGCTATCAGTTCTTAGTATTAATCACAACCCCCCCTATCTCCTCAAAAATGGCAGTGAGCCAAGGGGTCGTAAGCCCAGAGTCCTGTACCCAACATCAGCAACGTCCCCCTGCACTTCCAGCATCAGGGATAAGAACCAGGAGCCTGTGCCAAATGAATTCTTCACCCAAGCAAATCAAGCAATCCAAATAAAATGCTTGATTTATGAATTCCCACAGCCCACAGTCACAAAATGGTGAAGAAGAGATATTTCTTTAGCCAGCCTGTGCTTAAGATTTTAATGGAAAAGCTACAAAGGTATTTTATTTATTTTTTCCTACAACTCAGCTAGCAATTTGCCCACGTTCCCTTCTCTAACCGCATTAGTGTGGGTTGCTGTGTGGACTGGTATTACTTCATTTTGTTGCTCCCGGAGATGTCAGTTCCGTATGAACCACAGTAAGCAGTGCTGACAACAGCCCAACAATAAACAAACAGGAATAATCAACTCATTGAGATGCTACCTCTTTCAAACCACGGCAAAATCTTTCAAACACCCGTTTCATGTTGCCACCCTTCTCCATGGAGATCACCCTGGTGTGGTCCTCTTCATTAATCCAGATGAGAAATGTCTTGTCATTGTTATGCCTGGTTGAGAGGAAAAAAAAGATCTTTAAAAAGATAAGCCCTGAAAAGTAATTCTCAGTATCCTTAGTTTTATCACAGTGTTTCAGGGCTGTGGAAGGTTAAGCGCAGCACAATAACGTTGTCCTGCCGAGTTAGGGATTTGAGCTGCTTTCACAGTTGGATGCGCCATGCCTACAGCATTACGCAGGTTTCTCGGGCACAGCGAGAAGAACAGTTTTTCTGATCACATCATGCTCCTGTGGTGTTGAGGGCGGAAAAACATGTTGTCCTCTAGCACGAACACAGATGAGAGGTGCAGCAAAGGGAGAGGCCAAGCTCTGCATCCTCTGTCACCAGGGACATTTTTTATTGTTCTTAGAAAACTGCAGCTAGGAAAAAAAATCCCTAACATTTACATGCTGCTTGGGGCAAAGCAATATGTCCTTATTTAATTGTATTCTCCCCTAAATCAAATCCCAGTGCCCTCCGTATCGCTTGGTAGCACTGGATTGCCACATCAGTCAAGTTACGTGTCTGAGTACAGCAGCTGCGTGTTGCTTCCGGACAGCACATTAGTGATGCTGGCTTGTCAGTCAAGACACAAGTGCCTGAAGATACCCACTTTAGCCTCAAACAGATCGGTTGTTGCTAGGTTTATTAAGTGCTGGGTCAAACCTGAGGTCACTTTCTGTGGCTTTTTCTCTGCTTCCTCTGTCTTCTACTACAGCCTTTCTACAGCTTATAGAAGGTGATTGGTGGGATCGGATCCATATGTACAAACAGTGGAATATTACCAGGTTTGAAACACATGAAATTTGAAAGTTCAAGTTCACTGAGAGCCTGACAGCTGGTCATTTACTGTACTTATTTTTGCACTTGGAGTTTGCCAGCGCAACACTGAGCAGGTGTAAACATCCTGTGCCCTGACATTATGGTCACCCAAGGTCCAGTAACCTCGTCTTCAGTCACGTACAAATATTCAGGGGAGGGCTTTCCAAACAGTCTGAAGTTGGCCTGACTCAGCTCCTCCTTTAATTAACTGTCTCCCCATTGCTTTAAGGAATGAGCAGGGAGGCCACACTGACTGCATTTAAACTCTGCCATTGCTGCCGGTGATGTCAGTGGGAATGGTCCTGCAGCCCATAACAAGGACAGGATAAGAGCCAATATAAGCTAAATAATTTCCAGAAAAGGTCCTCTCTTTGACAATCATTTCTTGCAAGAGAAAGGCAGATTTTCCTTGTGTGGCTTACTGAAACACTTTCCAACCATGCTATTTTTTTTTTTTTCAGTCTGCCTGGTATCTTACATGTAAAAAAGCCAAAAACCAGGTCTGTTTTATTCAGGAGATCCCTGAATAGTAATTATATTGTTGGTACTTCTCCTGTTTGTTTGTATACACAATGAATGGGGTGCCTCAGTTTTATCCTTTTCATTTTCCTCAGATGTAGATGGGAATCAGGGAACTAACTTGAAGCTTGGTGAATTAAAAAAAATCCTCACAAATGTCCAGCAGGTCATCAGGTCTCATGGGTGACCAGTTTTCACAGCATCTGACAGAAAACAGGTTTAGCTGTGGCTGTGCTTTGAAAATGACCCAGCATTGTCAGACAGTGTTTGGAGAACAGTTGGGTTTTGTTCCCATAAAGTCCCATCCTCTCTGAAAGTCCTGAACCTGCCTTGGGCAAGGAGGTAGGCTAGGTGATTCCTCAGAATCACTTAAGCCTAATTTTTCAGAGTTAAAGCATCTGGTAATGCCTAGAAGTACCAGGGAGGATGTGGATGCTACGCACTGCACGGCTGCCCCCATCCTCTGCTAGTGGGTGTGGGCACTGATCTTGGAGCAATTATCCCTCTCTGTCCATAGAAAATAGAATATTTGGGCACAAAATACATCAGTTATGTTGTGAAAGTATAAACAGACCTAGAACAAAATAGGAAATTCAACTTCTGTATCTTCTTTTTGTCCAGTTCATTTAGAAAGAAGGGGTTACTTTCAGCTCTGGGAATTAACAGTCTCTTGGCAGTGAGGGGGAGACAGGAATTTCCAATGCAGCATCCTGTAGCCGCGTGGCCAGTGATTCCTAGCTGACAGCACAGCTACAACCTGGCCTTAGAGCTGCTTTTGTAACCTCAGCTCTGCCGACTGCATGGTGTCTCACAGGCTCTTTCCCAAATCATTTTTTTAGCTAGAAAAAAGAAAAAACGTTGATAAAAAGCCAAGGAAGATCCCATGCCTCTGATGCTGTGTTGTGTGGATGACATTAGTGATGGCTTCCTGCATGTAAAGGTCTGAACCATTCTGTTGTTCATCACTGGCTTTTGTTACTTTTGTTTGTTTGCTGTTTTGTTTTGTTTTGTTTTTAATTAAACAAGTAAACATTTTTTAACAGCAAATTGAACATGCTGTGAGTATGGGGCCAACGTGGCTGCAAGGTTAGGAGAAGCAAGGAATTTGTAAAACTGTCTTTAAAACATGACACAACTTCATGTCACACAACATACCAGATTCCTCTGGCATCGGGCCAGTCACGTGCCATCCCAGCACATGTTAGCAAAGGGGACACTGGTTTATCAAAGAGAAAATGATCCTGCGCACCACAATGGGGCCAAAGGGAGAGAGAAAGAGAGAGAGAGAAAACAAAACAAAATTCAAGTTTATTCAAGGAAGCAGTACAATGCTGCCTAATACATTTTATATGAGGGATAGCAAAGTACAAGTAAATCACACAGTGCAGCTTGTGAGTCTGGTTCCTTCGTCTGAAAACTTAAAGTACTTTACCCAGGTGATTTTCTTGAATCTTGCACATTCTCACTGACATTGGTAATATGATCATGTTTTGCCAAAAACATTTTTAAGCGTAGGGAGGAATGTGAGGTGGGGACCTAATACCACATATACACACCAAAGGATACTCTGGAGGGACCAGCCTGCTGGCACCAGAGATGTTTTCTACGTACAGACATATTTCAGGGTAGGAAAAGGCTACCAGCTCTTAAAGGGGGGTGGGGGGTGGGG